TGTCATCTTAGTCGACTCGTGGTAAGTGGTGTTGTACCAATACTCAGCCCAGGGTAAAAAGTTTTCCCACCGTTTTGGGAATTGATGGACGTAGCACCTCAAATACTGCTCAAGGGTTCGGTTGGTTACCTCAGTTTGTCCATCTGTCTGGGAATGGTAGGCTGAGCTCATTGATAACTTAGTTCCTTGCAACTTGAAGAATTCAGACCAAAAGCTGCTCATAAAAATCCGGTCTCGATCAGAGACGATGGATCGAGGTGCTCCATGCAGTTTCATCACGTACTCCACGAATAACCTGGCTATTGACTTCGCGGTGTAAGGATGGGTAATGGGTATGAAGTGAGCATACTTGGAGAGACGATCCACTACAACCATAACACCGTCAAATCCATTGGAACTCGGTAACCCCTCTATGAAATCCATAGTGATGTCTTCCCAGATTGCCTCGGGTACTGGTAGTGGTTGCAATAGCCCACTCGGTCGTCGTGAGTCAGACTTAGTGCGCTGGCAATCATCGGATCGCGCTATGTAGTCTCGGACGGTACTCTGCTGTCCGGGCCAGAAGAAAGTGTTGGCGATTCTCATCCATGTGCGATAGATACCCGAGTGCCCTCCAACCTTGGAGTCATGGAAGTGCTGCATGATCTGCTCGCGTAACTGCCCACTGTTGGGAACATAAACTCGACCTCTGTGTAGGAGTAGACCATTATGCATCTCGTAGTCGATAGCAGTTGTCCTACCTGCTTCTATCGATTGGCGCAGCTCCTGGCAATGGGTATCCTCCACTTGCGCCTTCCTGATCTCTTCCCAAATGGCCCAAGTAGGCCCAGTGATAGCACTCAACTCGGCCACATCTGTTCGACGAGATAGTGCGTCGGCTACCACGTTTTGTCGACCCGGTCGATAGATTATCTCGAAGTCAAACCCCATAAGTTTAGATACGAACTTCTGCTGCTCGGGGGTAACAATCCTTTGCTTCAATAGATGCTTAAGCGGTTGCTGGTCGGTAACAATCTGAAAACGTCGACCTAATAGATAAGGTCTCCAGCACCTTACAGCCTCGACAACTGCTAGCATCTCTTTCACGTATACTGATAGACCCTACCGAGTAGTGCCCAGTGCCTTGCTGAGATAGGCTAGGGGTCGTCCCTCTTGCACTAGCACAGCTCCAATTCCAATGCCACTCGCATCGGTGTGTACCTCGAATAGGACATCAAACCTGGGCATGGCGAGTACTGGCGTTGTAGTCATGGCTTCTTTCAGTTTTCCAAACACCTCCTCGCTAGCTTCGGTCCATGTGAACCCGCCCTTCTTAGTCATCTCTGTCAATGGCTTGGCGATGGTTCCATAATCCTTCACAAACTTCCGGTAGTAGCCCGTGAGTCCTAAGAACCCTCTCAACTGCGTGAGACCTGTTGGCTTAGGCCAATCGACCATTGCCTCAATCTTTCGTGGATCGACCTTCACGCCCTCGTGTGATATGAAGTGCCCCAAATACTCAACCACCATCTGTCCAAAAGAACATTTGGATGGCTTTATGTGGAATGAGTTGGCCTCCAGAATTTCGAGCACCACTCTCAAATGCCCAAGATGTTCACTCCATGACTTTGAATAGATCAGGATATCATCAAAGAATACCAGAACGAACTTACGCAGATACTCCTTGAAGATAGAATTCATGGCAAACTGGAAAGTGGATGGGGCGTTGCATAATCCGAATGGCGTAACAAGATACTCATAGTGCCCCTGGTGTGTACGAAAGGCTGTCTTTGGAATGTCGGCTTTGTGGAGTCGAATCTGATGGTAACCAGCTCTCAGATCGAGCTTAGAGAAATAGCAAGACCCGGCTAACTCATCAAGCATGTCATCAACGCTCGGGATAGGAAATCGGTCCTTGATGGTTGCAGCGTTCAGAGCTCGGTAGTCAGTACAGAACCTCCACGTGCCGTCCTTCTTTTTGGCTAACAGAACTGGAGAAGAAAACGGACTCTTGCTATGCTGTATTAGTCCTGATTCAAGCATCTCGGCCACCTGCCGTTCGATCTCGATTTTCTGAAAGTGAGCATACCTATAGGGATGAACGTGTATGGCATGTTGTTCGTTGATCAGTGGTATGCGATGATCGAACTCCCGGTGTGGGGGTAGACCCTTAGGTTCGCCCAGTACTCCCTCAAATTCCTGGAGAAGCTCATGCACATCTCCCTGCTGTTGCTCCTCTTGATCTGTGTGCGTCTCCGTTTTCTCTACTACTACGGCAAATATTTGGCCTCCACCCCGCCAAACCTTCTCAATACTCTTAAGCCCTACTTCTTTGGCACCTTTTTCATTGCCCGCACTTAGCGTGACTTGCTGACCTCCGGTGTTGAACTCCATAATTCCTGTTCGATAGTCAGTGGTCACCTTGCCTAACCCTTCGAGCCATTGTACTCCTAGGACGACGTCCGGCCCAACCAAAGGTAAGGCATAGAGATCAGCCTTCACCGTAACTCCGCTGAACCTGATTGGCACCCTCCGGAAGGATTTAGCGCATTGCAGCCTCTCACCATTGGCTACCCGTACCTCAAAAGGTTCGATATTCGTGGTTGGTAAGTTCAGCTTTTGGGACAAGTCGGCATTTATGAAGTTGTGTGATGATCCGTTGTCTACTAGCACCACCACCTTCCGATCCTTGACCCAGGCTGGTATTCGCATCGTTCGAGGCCCTCGTATCCCGGCCATCGCGTGCATTGAGATTTCTGCTTCTTCGTCAGGCCCTTCAACTACGATATCCTGATGTGGTTCTTCCTCGTCCTCAGATCCTTCCTCATCGGGATTAGCAACTTCGATCACAAAGGCTTGCTTACACTGATGTCCTGGTGTAAACTTCTCCTCACACTTGAAACATAATCCCTTCTCACGTCGACGTTTAACTTCCTCAGGAGATAGTCGCATCACTATCGACCCCGCCGACCAATTGTTGACGCTTGGTCGTGCGCCGGCCATGGCTTGGCTCGGCCCCGTGCGTCGCGTGTCGGCGTATTGCACATCCACCTGTCCCCTTCGTGTTGCGACTAGATGGTCTTCTCGTCGGCGGGCTACTTCCATGGCGTTTTGCATTGTGTCTGGCCGATCCAGTCGGACTTCTGTTGCGAGATCGAATCTCAGTCCAGCTATGAAGGCTCCTACCAGCGCATCCTCAGACCAATCTCGCACGCGACAGGCTAGGCGTTCAAACTCCCTGATGTAGTCACGCAAATTGCCTGTCTGTCGGATTCGTGCGAGAGCTTCATTATAATTATGGTAATCGGACGTGCCGAATCGGGTAAGCAATTCTTTCTCAAAATCGGCCCATGTAATGACTTGTTGCCGCCTACGGTAAATCCTCGAGAGCCACTGCCACCATACATTGGCCTCACCATCCATGTAGAATGCTGCGTACTTTACCCGGTCATGGCCTTCCATCTCATTTAATTCAAAATATTGCGCAATACGGTTGAGCCAAGCCTCCGGATCACTACCCGTGAAGGTGGACATTACGAACCTTGGCTTTTCGGGCTTCGGCCGCTCTCGGTAAGTGGATGCCTGCGATCGCTGGTCGTACTCTTCCTCGCGCTCGTACCCGTCGCGTCGCTGGTCGCCGTCTTGTTCGTACGCGCGCCGATCCTCGCGCCGTGGAGATGGTGTGCGATCGGCATGCTCGGCGTGTCTGCGTGGTTCGCGCCTCGGGGGTTCGTCGTGATGCCGCGGGGCTTGCTGCTGGAGCGCGCGTAGGACCTCCTCGAATCGTTGTTCGAGTCGTGTGACGGTGGCGTTGGTTTTGTTATGGCTTTCGTCAAGCGATCCAAGCCTTCCTTCCATGGCCTCGCTCATGCTTCTCATCTGGATATCAAGATTATCAATTTTATCCTTCATCTCCTTGTTGGCCATAGCTTTCTTCTCTTGCTTGCGTTCTTTGCTTCGTGGACTCGTGATTGAAGATGAATGAGATGATGAAATATATATATATATTTTTTTTTTGATAGGGGGGACGAAAAATCGAAAAGAAAAAGAAAGGGAATGGGGTAGAAGAAAAACACACGATCAACACCTTTCAATGAAAGCACCAATGATGAGGATCGTGTGTTTCGACTGCCGATAAGCCACAAACCAGTGCCTTGAATCGCCGATAGTGCCTAGAGGTTCACAAACCGCACCCCTCTAAATAGGGCTGGGCAAAAAATTCGAACCGAACCGCTGAATCGTAGATCCGAATCGAAATCGAACCGAATTTTCGGTTAACCGGGGGACTCGGTTCGGTTACAAATACCTCAAATGAAGTATTTTCTCGGTTCGGTTCGGTTACGGTTTTTAAGATTTTTTTACCCCGGTTAACCGAACCGTATATTATATTAAAATTTATAAAATATATATTATATTATATATTATATATTATAAAATATATATTATATTATATTATATATTATATATTATATATTATATTTATATTAATGTTTTCGGTTCGGTTCGGTTCGGTTCGATTTATTATTTGCGAACAAGCAGATTTGTGTTAGGTTCGCTCGGTTCGGTTCGGTTCGGTTAATTCGCGAATAGTAGGATTTTTTTAGGTTAACCGAAAATTCGGTTAACCGAGATTTTCGGTTCGGTTTCGGTTACCGAGTTCGAATATTTGCTCGGTTCGGTTCGGTTAGCAAATACCTCAAAAAGTTCGGTTAACCGAACCGTGCCCACCTCTACCTCTAAACGAATATAATTGCTATAGAATTTTGGTGAAAAACTAAAGCAAAGAGGATGAACAAAAGTTCTTGAGTTCTTATTAATTCTTCAATGATGAAAAAATAACATAGGAGATGGTCCTTTATATAGGCACCAAAATAGATCTAATCCTAATATAACTATAACTCTAAGAAAGCAATAATATATTAACTATCCTAATTAATCTAGATCTCATAATGTAAGATGGAAACAACTTGGGTTGCACTCCACTCAAACTCTCTCTCTTCGGCCCTTTGCACGCGACCGCCTTACGCCCAACCGCCCGCGTTGCCTAGTCCTTGCGGTACTAGGGCGCGCCGCCTTAATGCGCGCGTGCAGCGGCGCCCAACGTGCTGCCTACGCCAACGCTGTCTGCGCCGCCCCTTCGCGCGTGGTCCCCCGTCAGTCCGCACTTCTCGAGGACTGCGGCATCGCGCCCCGCGCGTCCTTCCCCAACGGCCGTGTTGCGCACGCCTTTGGCCCCGACTGCTTCCCCGCGCGCGTGCTGCCCC